CTAATATATATGTAAAAGGAACGAAAAGATTTACATTCGTTTCCAAAGTGTGAGAAAGTACTTTAAGTTTGAATTTAGTAGAAGTTTATATGGCATAATTTACTTAACATTTCCTCGATCTCCTGCTTTTTGGGGGCTATCTTTTCTTTTAATTGAATTGCTTTTCAAAACGACAAATCTCAGTGTGTCAGTCATTATTACCATATTTTGCATGATTTTTCCCGAGTATCGGAAGACTATCATTAGAGACCACGTGACATCAATTTCCCATCAAGTTTCTCAATAATCTCTCAGATTAAAGTTTCTTTCCAAGTTTTTTTTTTTTTTTGTAAAATCGTAATAATTTCTTGTTTTTTAGCAAAAATATATCTGGCTATCATCTATAGATCTGTTTGAATGTTGAAGTCTCATAGTGTTCTTCAGGTTTTGAATGTTGAAGTCTCATAGTGTTCTTCAGGTTTTGACTCTATATTATTTATGTATCCACAAAACTAATCCGTCTATGGTTTTTGTCCCCATCAGTTTTCTGTCTATTGAACTATAACCACGAGATCAGTTTGCTGAGTTTGCTTCTTTGATTATTAACGTTAATTCACATAGACGATACTATTTTTTTTTATTTTCCGTGTGTTTGACTGTGATAGAATTTACATGATTAATTTAATCACATTTCCCCTAGGCTACTATTACTGGATATAACGTTTTATGCATTTTCCAGCAATGTTGAGAAATTTTCATTTGTTTTTTGCTAATTGCTTCATGGATCTGTTTTAATTTAAATTTTTATATTTGATATACATATATATATATATATATATATATATATATATATATATATATATATATATATATATATATATATATATATATATTCTCATGTTTCCAGTTTTATCCATATTTTTGTTTCTGACTAATATCTATATTCTTTCTATTCCTTTTATTGCTTTATTGATACAGGTTTCTTTACTGATGACTCGTCTTTCTTCTTTTCTCTTTACACAAAACCAATCGTCTTCTGTTTTGGGGAGATTTGAACACAGTAATTAACATTATAATCTTCTAATTAGCTAATTACATCTCTTATCTAGTTTTGTGAGATGTCATTGTCTCGAATACGTCTCAAATATCCACATCGTATTATCTATCTTTTTAGAGTACTTTAAACTTAAAAGATTTGATCTCTTCTCGAATGCGAAAATCTATTGGATTGTTTGTTTTTATTAAAGAAATTTCGCACAAAAGTATTTCAACCTTTAATTTGAGTTGTGGAAAATCCGCTCTGAAATCTCGATTTTTCTGAATTGGGAAAATATTTGAGAAGTCACGTTACAAAAGAATATTTTTCTTTGTATCCGAAACTTTGGTGTTTATGACAGAATAATTAACAGAGTTAAATCACGAATCAAGTTTTATTTCTATAATTTAAGTTTTATATATATTTTATCGGAGAGTTTTAAAATAAATATTATACTTACTTTTAGTTTAAAAATATCGCAAAAAATAATTTTTAACACGGAGGTGGGTTTTTTACGTTTTGAATGGCATATTGACATCCTGATGTTGGAAAAATTTAAATAAGAAGGAGATAATGGAAATAAAATTACGTGACGAATACAGTGTGAACGCGTTTTTTTTTATAAAAAAAACTTTTTACTAATCAGTAATCTTTAAAAAATTAAAATATATTAAACATTCTAATATTTTATTGAATTTTAGGTATTTTGGCTTTTCAGCCTTATTCCAAAGACGCTTGTGAAGGAAATGTTAGAATATTACCAATAAAATTTAAATTTACTATAGTTACCTCTCATATTTCCCGATAATGCCGTGTATGAATATCGATTCTATAAAAATTCTCATATAACATTCAAAACTCTTTTTAAAATACTAGGTCATTGAAATGTAGTGAGCTTTTCCATTTAAGATTAGTAAATACAGTTTTAATTTATTACAATATCATTTAACCAATGCAAAATATTGAAAGATTTAAAAGTTTATAAATCATTCTAATCAAAATTTTAAAAAGTGAAAATTCTTATAAAAATTCATCATTCATCAAAAATATTTTTCTTTATACAATAGTCCGCATAATATAATTTATCTATTAAAAGCAAATAAAATCTTTTCCAAATAAATCATGTCTTAGTTTTATTGATTTTTTCCCACTCAGGGCACATTTTCTACAACTGGAGATTCTGCTGGACCAAAATAATTTGATGATTTCAATTCTCCGAGGATTTTTCCTTACAATTAACTTAAAGGGAAACGAAAACAATTTTCCAAAATTCCACAAAAGTAAATGAGTGGTGATGAGAGATATAAAAAAGATTTTTACAAAGATTTTCTGAAGCATTTAAAAAGTAATTTCATTCATTTATGAATAAATCCTGAAAGTTTCATTAAAATCCGACAATTATCTGATTCTTGCAAATTTGCAAATCAATGTTTTTCACACTCAAAAAACTCCTTACAAATTTATGGTCTTGGTTAACGCAAAAGAAAAAAATATTTTAACAAAAATTATAAACACTTGATCTTTTCCGTTAATAATAACACAAAGGATTTTACGATAAAACTTTGTTTTTATTATGCTTTTTCAATATGTATCAATATTTTAGCGAAACTAACACAAAGGCAGTTCAGAGTAGAGATATATAATTTGGGAATGCAAGTATCCTTGTTTGGTTTACTCCTTGCTCTAAATTATTGTCATTTATGTAGAAGGGAATAGGCAACTACTCCAATCATCAATTAGGTTTTCTCTGTAATTAACTTTCCAGAATTATTTTGTTATGTAAATTTCTCTATGTTTTTTTCTTATTTTTCTGTTCATTTTTCTGTAAATACTCAGTATTGTAAAAGTATTTTAATATTTCTCTCTATAGAACATTTATTCAAAATCACATAGCTTTCGATATATTTCATTTTACATGAAAGAAATCAAATCAATATCCGTTGAAAATTATTTTGAATGTTTTCAAAACAAATTTATATTTTTAAAAAGTAATTAAATTATTTTTATTTCTTCCAATATTTCTGATTCCGAAAAATGTCTTTAATCTTTTTTGTATGTAAATTCTTGAAAAAAAGATTTCTACAAAGATAATGGCCAATGCTTTTAGCTTTTTCCTGAGTGCGAGCTTCTGCGTTAAAATCTGAGCTTAGTAACCATTTCTTTGCCAAGAACAGTGGCTTTATTAGAATCCATTTAAAAAAGATCGTGGACTCGTATTTTTAAAATTAGTTTTTGTTTGCAGCTAAAATCTACTTGCAAAAATATTTCGATGAAAATTTTTCAGATTGTCGATCCTTATGTGTGTGTACAATTTACGTCGTCTCTCCACCGAATTGACTTACAATCAAATAACTGTATGTTTCTTTTCTTTTGGAAACATTTTGAATATACATAAATATACACGAAAATAAATATTTAAGCTCGATCAATATGTATTTCTTTTTCTATTCTTTTTTCTTTTCAACTAGAGTAGAGACATTAAGTTATATAAAAGCAGCATACTAGTTTTTTTTTTCATTAGATCCAACAAATATGGCTACATTGTGTGCAAAGAATATCGTCCTTACCATTAAATCAGTCAAGTAAGCAAGAGCCAATAGAATATGCAACCGAAACTGCAATGCAACAGACTTAATAATTTTTTTTATATGCATAAATTTCTTCGGTACACAAGCTTACATAAGAAAAGAAAACGCGCTTATAACTTTCAGAGTTTATTACATAAACTGGATAATGTCTAAAGTTTATACTACAGCAATTTCCGAATAACATATTTTATTTTGAACAATTTATTTCTATTGTGTTGTTGGATTGCAAACGAGAATTCTATTTTCCAGAAAGTTGTTTGATTGAATTTGGATGCGCATATGTACAGGCTGATAGTTTTGAATAAATCTTACATTTATATATTTTATAACAAGATGTACATTTTTTTTATTTAGATTTAATAAAATTGTACTCTTATTCATGTTCTTTGTAAAAAAAAATACTTATTATTAACTTCTTAGACAGATTATCAGTGGATAGAGAAACTATCAGTGACGTTGACAATCATTTTTGTAGACATCAAGGAATTAAGTAGGAAATTATTTAAGTTAGTACGTTTAAAACAAAATTGGATGAGAATTTTTAACTCGAAAAGGATTGCAAATTCTCTTCTATTTTTGTCTTGTCAGCCATTTTATCTACTATCGACTTTCTCTTAGTTTAGATCATACATAGGTCCAGCGGAAATCGATTAATCTATGTCGTCATCAGAAGAAGACAAAATCAAAGCAAAGCACCTATCGTGTCATAGGCATTCTGACACACGAATAGCCTAAGTAGATAAAAAGTTACATTTAAACAGTAGTACGGATTATTGATAGATTAAATAAATGTTGTAAATATTTTCCTACACCAAAAATATATTAATATATATTTCTGGTGGGTTGAAAGTAAAATATTTTGTCCGATTCAGGATTATTTAAAAGTGAACTTGTGAAATCCGTATTTTGAAACATATACACAGAAAAACATTGCCAGCCGTTAATACCAGATGTATTAATCCATCTTTTTATAATTATAGATGCAAACTCTCCATATATGCGGATATATTTGTTAATAAACCAAAACTCTAAATACTTGTATTGCAAACATGTTACGAATGATTCTCTTAACACTGTTTCATGATTAATACATATTTTCTTATTAAATGGAAATAAATCCCGTTATTTAGCACTACAATAAAATGTGATAAAACCATTCAGCGCCCCTTGTACAGAGGAAAACATCCATTTATAAGTCATTAAACAGCGTTAGTTTGAAATTTACCACATAATTTATCCAAAGGAAGACAGTAACTGGTCCAATATCATTAACTAGCTATGTACTAAGTACATAGCTAGAAATCATGTCTACGCTGTTTTTCTTATTTTTGAGTAAAATTTACAAGCCTAAGAGAGAAAGATCAATAAAAAGATGAAAATCTGAAAATATTCGAAACAGATCATATAATGAACAAAAAAAAGAAAGAAAGAAAGAAAGAAAGAAAGAAAGGAAGAAAGAAGGAAATTGAAAAGAGAAAAAGAGCTCGTGAACAGGTGGATAAAAATAATAAATATAAATAAATTTTAAAAGATGAATAAATATAAAGTAAACAAAATATAACGAAAAGAAATCAGATGCAAAATATAAGTCAGCAAATTAATTGTCAATATTCGAAAATGTCGAAGAAATAAATTCAAAGTGATAAAGAAAAAATATATCTCCAGGCTACAGTTCAATTCGTTTTTGTAGTTATCTGTTTGCAATTCAATACAAATCTTTGTTTTGATTAGGCTATTATAGTTCAGCTCTTGAGGAGACAAACAAAGCTGAAATGTATGGTTTGCAAAGAAAACTCCATCATTGTAGTGTTGTTTCCTCATGGCGTTTTGTCTAAATGGAATTCTGGAGTATTTGCACTCCATTCTGAATTTTTGCTCCAGGATTTGAAAATAGTACAATTGGTAGAATGGAAGTAGAAAAGTAGGAATCTAATCGTTAAACGTAAATCTCACAGATACGCATGTTTGTCAGGCTATGATTCTTCTGACAAACGGAGAAATATCAGACTTTTAGTTTACTGTCGATATTAATTTCAAATATATGTTTTCATCACAACATTTCTTTTACCCAAGGGAGGCATCATTCTTCCGAATACAATTAAGAAATAAACAATTTAAGCTGTTAAAACGTTTTTCCTTATCATAGATGAATCAGAAGTCGTGCATATTAAGAAAAGTTCTTGAAAGGAGTTTTCAATTTCATTTAAGAATCCATAAATACGTGTATTTATCGTAAATGCATGTCTACATATGTACACCTATTATTTATTAGACATGCACAAAAGCTTTTGCAATACATTGGAAGTATTCGTATAAAATAAATTAATAGTGCGATCAATCGGAAACAGTTACTTTTTATATTTCTATAATCATTATGATCAAGTAGAATAAATTGAATTATTTGTAATGTCTTATTTCTATTGTTGAATTATTTCTTTTCATGCCCGAGATTTTCAAAGGCTAAGATATATTTCTATATTTGCTGTTGATAATGTTTCCCACCACGCCACGTGTCATTCGAGAGAAAATTGAAACCTTTAATGCCAGCATCATTTTTTAGCCATGAGATTTTCCTACAATTTGACATATTTATGAGTGATGAACTGCCTTAATTAGTTTATATAAGCTTGCAGATAATTGACCTTCAGTTACTTTCATCCAAGAATATTTCTTATGGAACAAAATAAGTAGCAATCTGAAGATACAAGCTATATGTGAGTCCAGAAGGACATCTTAAGCCAATTTCAACCGGGTATGCAAAGAGACATGATGCCTTGGTGTTGTCCTGATGAAAGACAAGCCAATTCATCGATTGCTGTCTTTGATCGATCTAATTAGGAACACTACTTGCCTGAATTCAACATTTCGCCTAATACACAATACCTTTCGAAACACAGCAGATATACATTTTCTTCTATATGAAAAATAACTAAATGAAACATATACAAATCTGAAATACTTTACTTCAAAGAGACATAAAATTTAATTTCAGGAAAATTTATAAAATAGAAGAAATTAAAGTCGTGTGTTCAGGCCACCATTTTCTTGGCCTTCCTTTGGTAAAAAAATAAATAGATAAACTGCAATAACTTTGGGTGGGATATTCACTTCAGATTCTATTATTGCAATTTGATTCCTTGTTAATAGTTTATATTGGATTCACAGAAAAGTGTATTTATCTGGATTAGTTCATTCAGAAATATGAGATGGTTGTTAGTTGGAAATCGGAAAGTGTTTATCGAAACTGTTTGACAGAATCCTAAAAATGCATTTTTCTTTTAATGTATTATGAATAATTGGCTACATTTTAATTAAATCTGCTTGGAAGAACGTAATATAATAATTTTTATAAACGAAGTGAACGATGCAAAACAAACATTTTCATTGACGGACAATTGAATCTGAAAATTAACTTTTTTAACTTTCGAATATATATTCAAGTAAGACTAATGACAATTTGCTATTTTTTTAATAATTATCTCTAGGATAACGTGTCATCTTCTAAATATTTAACACATTAACGACGGAATGTTTTGGCGTTTCAGTTAAGAACTAACATATATATATATATATATATATATATATATATATATATATATATATATATATATATATATATATATATATATATGCATGTGTGTGCGTTTCAGTCTGTGACTGTGTGAGTATGTATATGTATATATATGCACTGCAGATGTACTAGCATATTATCCATAAAATTTGAACAGGATCATTTACGTCTGGCACTTGTGATGAGAATCAGAATATTTAATCTCTGTAGATTAGGATTTGCACTCCCGCTTCTGGTTGAGATCAAAGGAACGTATCTATTCCAGTTCATTACCTTTTTTCCGTGTTCTCATGTGTGAGTTCGATTCCCTGCTTGTATTGTAGGGTGTTTACTTCAGAGAAATGAAGGTCATCTGGTTCAGGTGGTTTCAAAATGTGTATGATATATACTGTCTACCGGACAGGAACCGTATTGATTCTTGAAAATGTCTGAAACTTTCGAAAGTGCTTGAATAAATAACAACACAGACAGGAATTTATGACAGTTTATCCATCCACAATGTTTTTTTTCCGACACACAACACTTTATTCGAAAATTGGACAGACTTATTTTTTTTCTTTTTAATCCAACCTGTATATATCTGTATATGGATATAGATATATAGATATATATAGATATATAGATAGACAGACCATCTTATCTATTCGTACATCTGGACCTAAGCCTGAGTTTGAAACTGAGTAAGAAAATCATGTATGTCTATTTAAATCTTGGATAACGAGAAATAAATTCAAGAGATAAAATTTTCAAAAGTATCTCGTAATCTAAAAGACGTTTGTAATCACATTCACCTCATGAGTAGTGAATTTTCTACTTCCCTTGTAGAAGAGCTATTGTATCGGTTTTAATCTCTTTACATGTATATTTTCTTTCTTCTTACGCATAAAGCGTAAAAAGTATCAGATTCTTGAAAATATCTTGTTGTAAACTCAATCGACAAAGTCCCTACCAGTTCTTAGAAAAACGGCTTCATCCTTGGGTTGATGTTACAATACAGTACTCTATACAGCACTCAGATTTAAGCTATTCTGAGACTTAATAAAATCATTATGCACACGCTTTTAGTCTGTTTATTTTTGGTTCTATTCGTTGTGCAGTTTTTTTCTCTCTCATTATACTTATCATCTGATAAACACTATCATTAATTCAATGGCTCACGATAATGCTACCGAGTTGTTGATACCTGAATGACTGATGCAGGAACGATAAGTCATATTGACTTGGGTAGAAGGTCTCCTGTAAATTTAACAAAACGAGTTTTTTCCTATAATGTTGTGATATTTCTATAGATAATTGCTACGTGGAACTTCGTTCATCAAAGAGCCACAGTAGTTTGAGATTTGGGGATAACTTTATTTCTGAACAGAAATCTATACACGAAAAAATATTTGATATATCATGAAACTAATTAAATGCAATCTGTAGAGTTAAGCTTCAAGATAGGACATCTAACGTAGACTTGTTTAACAGGTGTAATATTGGAGGAATTGAGCCTTTCTCATACAGTCTTAGTTACGGTGGACTGGTCATGTCTTGAGAATGTCTGATACCCAAGATCCTAATGTACAGCCAGTTAGATCAGGGCTACAGGAATGTAGGACGCCCATGGCTAAGATACAAAGACAAGCTCAAAAGCAACTTGTCAGCAGTCAATATACCACATAACACCCTTGGAGCGGGTAGATAAACGTATTTTAGTGGACTCAGCAATTTTCAATCTGCTTGTCTGAATCATCTTCAAGAAGCGAGACCAAAATCTAAAAGGTCACCCAACTTAACAGTGAGCTCATCTCAGAATCCTCACTCTTGCTCCATATGTGGCCTCCTTTGTAAATCACTAGCGGGTCTTAAATGCCACTTAAGATTATCGCACACAATTTCATAACTGAATCAACAAGCTGTCAGATCCTCATATGTCGAAACCGAGGAGAGTCCATTATATATATATATATATATATATATATATATATATATATATATATATATATATATATATATATATATATATCCATACACATACACTCATGCATACATGTAAACATATACACATAGACGTATACATATGTGCACATAAACATATATACATAAAACCTTACACACATTCATACATATGCATACACACACTCATCTAAACAAATATACAACGTATCTATCTATCTATCTATCTATACATGCACACACACACACAGTATAGTATATCAATTCAATTATATATATATATATATATATAATATATATATATATATATATATATATATATATATATATATATAAATTAAAAGGTAAAAAGCACACATCAATCCATACATACATTGAACATCTAAAAAATAGATGGGTAGAATTAAACTAATTTGTAATTAAAAAATCTACTGAGAAAGAAAACGTTAACAATATTAAAAACCCACGGCGTGATTAACGCGTATCTATCTCTTAAGTCTATATATATACCTAGGTATATAAAAATATCAGAAACCTATCAGTTATTTAGGAAAACTATTTACCTACATACCCACATACAATATACGAACACATGAATAAAGTTTGCTAACACAAATTAAATGATCAAAAAAATATACTGAGCATCACATAAGCACAGACAATGATATATATAGATAATCATAAGAGTCATTCCATTTAAATGTCATATCCGATGTTAGTGATCCAAGATGCAACTGTTATAGGTAACAAAACTTTATAAAACCGTGTTTATATTTTAAAGCGTTTGTTATGTCTACATTTGGAAATGATCTCACTGCGAAGATTCAGCAACTCATCTTGATTTTTATCTTTAATGATATTTTTTTCCGCAATGTATAGATCACACCGATCGCGGAAGTTATTAGGGGTTCTCGCTCGTGATAAGAATCTCCATTCGAAATGCAGGGTTAGTCCCTTATCCACTAAATCCCAGTAGAGTTTGGATAAGGAAGTTTGATTTTTAAGGTATCGATATTTAAAAAGCATCTATGGTTATATAGACGCTGCTTCCAATTACCAGCGGATATACATATGTATCTTTTTTTTCTGGTTGATATTTTCTACGGGGAAGATTGTTGCTTCATATATTACATTCATACATGCATTTTCCCCTGATTGGACAATTTGCTCTACTCCTACAATTGCAGGTTGGGTCCCTAAAACGAGTTTCACTACTATGGTAGTTTTTAAGTATTTTACAATTGTGGGAAGATATAATTTTCTCCATATTACTTACACATGAATAACTAATTTTCAGTGTCTTCCCATTGAAAATTTTATATAGTGGATGTTTACTATGAAAGTGTTTGTCTATTAACACTAGGAAGAACCTTCTTATATCAATGTTGGAAAGCCTGCAATACGGTGGGTTAAACCATATTACTTTCCTCTTTCTGTTTTTAGATCTATTATTACTATGATTTACTAATTCTTCGTTACAGTTTAATTCCTGTCTAAAACCACTATTTTTGAGAGCTTGGTTGTATATAAATTTATTTTCATTAAAGATTTTTTGGCTAGAAGCCTAATTATTCTCGTATTAACGATTTGGGGGATTTGATCTATTACAGATTTCGGGTGGTTAGCATGGTCATTGATATATAGGGGTGTCTGATTAACTTTATGGAAGGGCTTAAAAGCCTCATTGGGGAGGTTGAGGGTGATATCTAAAAGGTTGACTATTTTAAGGTTGGGAGATATTTCAATCTTAAGACCTAGGCATTTGAAGGCCCTAATGATCCTCTTATATAAGCTGGAAATCAAGAGACCATTGCTAGTAGGGACAATGATTAAGCCGTCATCTCTATAAATTCTAACTTGGTTAAGGTTAACTACTCTATTCAAGGTGTCTAAAATATATATGCCCACTAAATCTGCAATTTTGGAAGAGTCGGATGCTCCCATAGGTACATCGAAACTTTCCTTATTCTTCTTCACCTAAGTAGCGTCATTGTATGTAAGTATTGATCTTCTTGACTTTAAAACCATGTCCAGATCATTTTCCGTTATTTCGGTATATCTTTTGGCGAAATTAAGGCTGTTAATTAATAGTTCCTCCGAAAGAGAAGGGTAAAAATTCAAGATATCAAATTGGATGAAAGTAGCTTTCCTTTTATTGGTGACCTTTAGGAAGTATTTAATCGTCGCAACCGAATCCTTCCAAAGGTTGACTGAATATTTATCTAGGACACATGATGTTTTTTTCTTAAGAATGCTTTTAGAAATTAACCCCAACTCAGATTTAGAGGAATTAATTAAACGGGACTGCAAGCTATTGATAAATTTCGGTTTGTGATCTTTGAATAGAATGCATGCATCTTTCATATTAAATTTGACCATTCTGTCAGCAACTCCACATTATACTTTTCTTGAATAGGATTAATAATTGACACTTATTTATTCAACTGTCCTTAATTTGTAACATTATCCTAAACCACTGTTGAAAATGGCTCCAGTAGAGTCGATTGTCTTTACTGAGTGGCAACTTTTGAGTAGCATCAAGAAATAAGGAAACTCGGGAAAGCCAAGTAATAAGGAAGAGTGACAAGTTCGACGTGTTCTAAAACTTTAATTTTCCCTTTTTTGTTTCAAAATCATAAAAACATGTGAAAATCAGACACTTGTGTGTAAAGAGTAAAATATAAAAATATATAGTCTATAGGCATCTTTATATTTTGTGCTTCAGCGATTTCTGATGATCCACAAGCGTGTTGCTCCGAGTCCAGTCTACGGCGTGTTGACAAAAACTGTAAAATAATTAATCACCATCATGATAAAAATTATCACAGACAGTTGGTTCTTCAGCTCTGTATTTTGCCAAAAGTGTGCACCCACCAAGTTTGCTAGCTTTTCGTTTATTCATCGTGAAAGATAATCAAACCAGAATTTCAAAATCTTATATAATTACTAAACAAGCAACTGTTATTTCTATTACCCTTGATGGCGCGTGCCACGCTATTCATATGCTAATATCATAACTGGGTATTTTCACTGGTTCGACCAGCAGTGACTGTTTTAGCCATGTTAACATCAAGAATTAGGTTATGGTCCTATGTTATCTATAGAATATGTTGCAGCAATATAGATCATAGCACGTATGCGTAAGTGACTGATTTTGCTGTGTATTGCAAATTTATGCAAACTAATGATTTTGTCAAGTTCCAGCCCAGGAATTTTACGTTTTACAGTCGGAATATTCTGTTTTCAGTAGCAAAATCCCGTTCTCCGTGATTTTTTGTGTTTTCCGTTTTCTACTTTATTTCCATGTTTCTTTTTTCCTTTTTCAATATCACGAAGAACTTGCCATTATAATATAATAAGGAATATGTTCACAAATAAACGGAAATATGTCTAATAGTAATAATGACATTATAAGAAAACTGTAATTTTTTTTTTACATAAGTGTATTTGTAGTTATATGCATGTGTAGTTGATCAATGTTCAAATGTGTTTCTTGCATATTTGTATATATTCTGTTAGAAATACTTCGACACACTCTTTTCAGCTATGTAATGGCGATATTATTTCAATTAAAACCAAACTTCGGTTTAAAATTGGTGGGAACTTCTCTGAATTCTATTTCTATGGTATGGCGGGTCTCAGGTACAATAGTCAGGGTTGGTGAAACAAAGAATATATTTCGTCAGAACATTTGCTATGGAAACTGAGAAAATAAAGTGATGCTTGCGACATTTCATCTAAAGCAAATGAGTTTTATGGTGGACAATAATTAATCTCACACAAGGCCGCGTAGATGCTTTTGAATCAAAACAGGCAAGTGAAGACTATGTAGCTCCATTTTTGGTTTGATATAAATTTTGTAAATATTATAACAGGAGTCTTCTTAATGGAGCAGTATAATGAACCGACCATTTTCCTAGCATCTTTTGCAATACCTTGAGTATATGTTCTAACTGAAGTCTGAAGTAAGTTTAAATCAAAAGAGATATTCAAGGCAAGAAGCTTCCTTAAGAGAATGTCCATCCATCATAATAGGTGAAAGTTCAGGATCTGTTCAGTTATGGTGGAACGTTAGCAGTTAGGTTTTGAACGTACTGAATTTTACAAGCCAGTCCTTCTCCCTATTGCGCCATCAGGGCTAGGTTATTGGAAAGATCGGTTGATAGGTTATTGTCATCCAGAGTTTTGGAGGTGTACCTATAATACACATTGATATTCAATAAAGATCGGATTATGTAATTAAGCAGATCCTTGGCAGAAACAGGGAGAGAACCCTGGGGAACGCTGGCGTTGATCTCCCGACTGGGCTTCTGATAACTGGCTATTAATAACTGAAGGACTTGATGATTGAGAAAGCTCTTCCAGAGATTCCATACCTGGAGAGTTTATGTCGCAGCCCCCCATACCACACATTGTCAAAGACTTTTGATATATCGAGGTCGATGCCCTCCTAATAAAACTATTGACTAGTGTCTCACTAATCCTGTGACAGGACATTAGCTATGGATCTAGCAGAGCCAAATCCATATGGTTATCGCTCAGGTGTTTGTTCCTGTTGAGGTGTTCAAAAACCTTCTTTTTCTTACAGATTCAAAGAATTTACTGATGACACTAAGGCGGCTAATGAGTCGATATTGCAACAGACATAAAAGCTCAACCACATTCTTAAAAACAGGGCATACAGTTGATATTTCTATATACTTAGAAAATATATGCCCTTCGAGCATCGGTTAGACAGTTTTGATTGTATTGGAGGTAACTCTGGACTGATATTCTAAACAGCCACTGGGATTGTGTCCGATTCGGTGGCCTTAGAGTCAAGTCATTTGATAAGTTTGGAAATGTCCCGCGCCATGATAGAAATATAAAGTTTGTGCTGCGTGAGAAGGGGTGATTCAGATAAAGGGTGGTCCTTATTGTCTAATGTCGAGGCAAATTTCATATCAAAGAGCCTTGCTTTGTCATATGGTTATGTAATAACTTCAAGGCTGACACTGATACTTTGGCTCTACTGCGAATTTTATTCAAGATATTTTAGAATTCACAGGAATGGAGTCGTTTTTTTTTTTTAACTTTAACTTTGAATGACTGTGCATATCTGCCTTTATAGTATTCTATAATTCTCTTACAATGATTGCGAGCAGTTGGGAATGCTTCAGGAGTCCCACGACATCATTCTGTGTGGAAGAGATCTTTGTAGTAATTATGTATTAGCAAATTCTGAGGTAAACCAAGGCTGGTTATTTGGTTTGTGTTGGTATTTCTCCTTTGGGATAAAATTATCTATGCCTGAGGAGATCCATTCAGAGATGAGCGAAACCATTCTGGTAGCTTTGATTTTAAAGAAAGCTGAAAGAAAATCTTTTGCAAAGTAAGATCTAAAGCTGTGATAGTTAGCTTTGGGATAGCGAAAGATCGTCCTGTGATATGGTACATCAGCAGATGGTTTTGGTTTGGCATTAACTTCAAAATTCATCTGCGAATAGTCAGTAGTACCCCCGTAGCATTTTCAGAAGGAAGTCAAGGAGGTTTACGTGATGTCCCATTGTATCAGGAATACAAGTGGGTTTATACTGACTCTCTCTGTTTCCATCGGCTGTTTCCATCAGCGAGATTATATACCTACAAAAATTAATTAAACTTTTAAATTCCCAGTACCCACCGTTTGTGCACATGTATAGTCGCACCAATGTAACAAATTTAGTCTGATGAATTCCTAAAGGATAAAACACGTCACACGAAAAAACATTTTCAACTTTGTCATACAAATTGTCTAATATATATATATATATATATATATATATATATATATATATATATATATATATATATATATATATTCATACATGTTTCATTAAATAATATAGACAAGTGTTGTCTATTTATTTTATGTAAAATCTTTTCATAACGCCTGATAGGCTTAATAACATTATCATAAAAACGAAGAAAGAAAAGCACAATATTGATACATATTTTTTAATCCTATCTAAGCTTTCGGCTTACATAAGCCATTATCAAAGATGACAATTACAGTACAATATTTTATGCAATACACGGACAAGAAAATGATGATAGTCTGTTTCTGTTTACATGGATGGTTTCCAAGCAACGATAAACACGTGCATATAAGACGCTGGAAGCGAAAATCGCATCACAGCTCATGACGTCACACATGACCACGCGAGAGTGAATTCGAGAAGTATTAAGCATGGGAATACGTTAGTATAAACCAATGGCTTCTGTTACCAATTATAGACATTTAAGGATATTTGTGGGGATTACATAGTTTATTTTGTTTAGGTTAGGTTTCAACTGTTTTATGTATATAGCTTCTGGAATTTTTAGCTTTTGTTTATTGTTTTCATGTTTAAGTATAGTTGTGTTTTCTACAAGGATTTTACGGAATTGTGTATGCGGCCAGGCATGTTGTTTGAAATGCCTAAAAATGTTAGAGTCATTCAAATATAGTGTCAAGCGTCCAGAACGCGAGTTTGCGGTGTGACCAACATATATATTATTTAATTCGTTGTAGATACAATCTCCCAAAGGGCCCTTGAATTTGAAAACTATGTTGGTTTTTTGCAAATCGCTAACCATGGGAGAAGTATCATTGCTAATAATTGAATTGGATATACTAGAGTTAGTGTAGTATATCCAATTCAATTATATATATATATATATATATATATATATATATATATATATATATATATATATATAAATAACAGGCCACTTTAAAGTTCCATTATAATAATTTATTTCACCAGAGCCCTTTTAAAGGACTCTGGATCATCACTTCCAAAAGATGAAACGAAATGAAATGAAATGAAAATTCATACTTTTGGTGGGTAGTGTAAGTTTTTGTAATTTAACAGAGGGGGTAATGAGGGGTGGTTTGAGAGACATGGTCGAGTTTAGAGAGGGTTTATTTAATATTTCTATCACTCATACTTAGTATTGGGGAGGAGGGACCAGACCTTGACCTATTTAATCGGTTAACTTAACGGAAGTGATATATTGAAAAGGGAGGGGAGACGAGAGAAAAAGAAAAAGAAAAAAAAAGAAGGGGGATGTAAAGAGAAAGAGGCTGTAAATAGGTTTCACGTAGGAAGGAGAGGGGTGGTATTATTTTAGCAATTTATGTAAAAAATAGATTTTAATGTTTGATAGTAATTTAAATGTCTAAAATATCTACGAAGAAATTAATTTGATTCTTGCTAGCAATTTAAATATTTAACTCTTTTACAAATAATTTAGGGATTTAATATAAGTTAAATACTGTATTTATTAACACATTCATAGACAACACATTAAAAATTTTCTTAAAAATATAACAGTTAACCGATAGTAATCTTTTAATATTGTAAAAGTCTGTGAAGGTAACATCTTTATCAGTTTGAATCTATGGTGGAGTAATGGATAGCGGCTTGGATTGAGGAATCGGAAAGCCGAGTTCGAATTCCAGTCAAATCGTGCTAATATCCCCTTGGAAAGGTATTAATCCTCTTCTTCTCCGTCCAGCTTTGGGTAAATAGCAAGGCAGACTGGATTGGCAACTGGTCTAGGAGAAGGGCAACTCTGAATTCAATACCTGCGCGGAGTGTCGTTTGAGGACCTTGTGCCACGTAGTGCACTATGTCTCTGTATGTCAAATTAAAAAAAAAAATTAAAGATAGATTTTTTGAGAGATTAAAAGCCAAAGATTAAGGTCAAGGTCAAATTATCTTATTTAACCTTTAAAAAATAAATAAATTGATCACTTTTTAGATCCATCCAAGTACTTTAAATTTAGCTCTTTAGCAAATTTAGCTGACATATTGATAATTAAATTTTGTGACTATTTTCTAAAATTCACATTTTTGGCAAGGGTCAAAGAATCATATGTTAGGAACACTTTTCCTAGAGATGTAAAATCGGTACCATTCAATTTCTATCATGAAGCTCTATAAAAGTACCCGTGTCCGTGTCCGTGATTGCCAGGCCCTTGTCGATTTCACACAGAATGATATATATATATATATATATATATATATATATATGTATGTATGTGTGTGTGTGTGTGTGTGTGTGTGTGTGTGTCTATGTACGTATGAGTGGCGTTCCAACGACAATTTTTCCTCCCACTACCCTAAAAAAATGATATAGGCAACCATATATAAATCCAAAATTTAAAAATGAATCTGTTTGTTTGACTATCTCAAATAGCGTGAAGCCCTGGATCACAAACTCATATCAATTCAACTGAATATATATATATATATATATATATATATATATATATATATAGAGAGAGAGAGAGATAGATAGATAGATAGATAGATAGATAGATCGATAGATAGATAGATAGATAGATATGTGTGTGTGTGTATGTTTCTGAAATAAATACGATACAAAAATGTGACGCTGAAAGAAGGAAAAATAACAAATTAGGAAGGCATGTATTAAAATCTTGAAAGAAATGTAAATGTATTTCTAACAGGCTTTCTTGATCGTTCCATTTCAGTGTATCGGATTTTTGTGTCAAGATAAGACTCAATTAGCTAAATGCCTCCAGCATTTACCCATACATACTTATAAAATAGATATTTAAATTGACTTTTCACTCGCAGCACAGTATTCAATATTACCCCTTGCATCATCAGATTTATTTATTATGCCCAGGTCTCTGGGCATAATAAATAAAATTGATGTAACTCTTACAGACTCACACTGAGTTACAAAAGTGACAATATCACATGAGGATAACATCGCCGAATATTCTAGATTCACATATATAATTTATGCGTTTACCTGAAATGATATATTCACATCTCGAATTTATATTCCTGTGGTTTAAAATGCTTCTCTTGTTATAATGAGTTTATTCTTGTTGGCAACAAAGATACTTTTTTTCTCATCGGATTTTCAAGCGAAAAAATTGTCATATGTGAGTAAGCGCCATGAATGATGATCATTTATGAATGATTATTATTTGAACGTTCACCTGTTGCTCTAGGCGCTTTCTGATAGTGATTATTATCTAGATTTATGGCAAATGCTGTTCCACTCAAGGCTCAATTGATTATAATTCATTTCTCTGAACGAAACCTTGAACCATAAAGTTGTGATTATCAGAATAACTGGACATGATTTTCTAAATAATTTCGAAACAGTATTGATGATAAAGTTTTTCACAAAAGCAATTAATTTTATCAGATTTATATTCAATTGTCACTCAATACACACAGTAACATAAAAGTATACAAAACTCATCTATGCTTAAATCTAGGTACATATGTTCTTGGAATTTACTGACAAGGTATTTTATTAGCAAGTAAATATATATATATGTATATATATATATATATATATATATATACATAGATAGATAGATAGATAGATAGATAGATAGATAGATAGATAGATAGATGTTATAATTGTGTATTTAGGCAGCAATCCCTCATTTATACATGTTTCGTTAAAAACGACTGATAAGGTACTGCGGTTAACAATTGATTTAATTTTTCTTGTGTTTGTACAAGTGTTTGCTTTTCTGGACACAAAGTATGTAAAAACTGTCAAAACGTACTACATATCCGAGTACTTTCGGCTGTTCTTTTAGCCATTATCAAGGACAGTTTTTTTCCTTTTTATTTTTAACTAAATATGTAGCTTTTTATGTATATGTCTAATGCTATAATAATGCCTTATTTTCCCCAGAAATCAGCCCAAATTTGTATAAAATGAGTTTAGATTTCTGTACAATGTTTGGAAACTATTTTAAATATTTTCTGTTTGGTTGTAAATTTTAACTGTTATTCTTCATTTGTGATATTGATTTATTTTTTTTAATATCAAAAACATGAAAATACTGATGCGTAAAAGTATGTCGCAAAAAGCTAATACACCTGCATTCTACTGGAAATCACTTGATAGTGTACTTTTTCGTTCATAACTTGAATAACACGATCTGTCCTAGAGACTGACAACTTAAATGGCATTAGAGTTAAGGATTTACCCCCATGCATTCATGATAACCTGTCAACTCCTCAAGGGCCAATATTGGGTGATGTCAGTGAACATTTTTCATGCCATTATTCCCAAATATATTCAATGTGATTATGGTCTGGAGATATGACAGGATATTTCATTCCGGATGAAAAGTGATCAGTATGTTACGAAATAGTTGCTTTGCAGCTGGACAACATGCATTGCTTTGCAAAAAGATCAACTGTTTCCATTTTCTCTATTTATTGGTAGCCTTGGAAACAGGCTCTATACTAACAACTCGTTTTATTTATGTGCAGATTTCTGTTAATAATGAAGAGACAGTGAAGACCACAACACTCTAAAGCATAATCCTTCCTCCGCTATGAAACATATTTCTGAGTTTAAGGCGGTAGATTATACATGGTTATTGTATTCAAACGTATCAATATTTTAATGTTTCTTTCTTTGTCCATATCACATTTTGGAGATGATTGCACTTTTTCAGTATTATCTCTATCCACTTGTATCTGGTTTGTTTATGCATTTATGCAAATAATTCTGGTTAGTGTTGTGCCAGGACAACATGATAGTAACTAAGTAGGTTACTGTGAATGGATGATTTCTGACTTGTTGTTGTTGCTTTTGTTGTTGTTGGTTTATTGCTCATTCAATTTTTCAAGTACTCATTGAATATTATATTGTCTATATGTTACATCGTCTATTTCCCTCCGAATATTCATTTACTTTCTGTTTCATTTCTGTGATTCGTCAAAATGTTACGAATCTGCGATGGAGATAATGTTACTAAAGTTTGTAAAATAAGGTTTGGCAACATGTCGGGGGGGATTGTAGACGAAGACATAACTCTAAATTCAATTTGACTATGCATATATATATATATATATATATATATATATATATATATATATATATATATATATACATATATATAATATATACATAATATATATACACAATATATATATATATATATATATATATACATATATATATATATACATAATATATATACATATATATATATATATATATATATATATATATATATATATATTACGCACTGTTACATTAGAACATGTACATACCCACTACAAAACTGTACATCTTGTTTCAACGTTAAAACGTAACGTTTCTTCAGGAGGAAAATCAAGTTGCTACTACCTTATTTTATTCCGAAATACAGTTGACGACGCATATCTCCCCCTTCCGTCTTTGGAAAATTTTCAATAAATGGTAAAAATATGTGTATATATTACATATGTGGAAAGAAAGAAAGTTAAGTGACTAATAACACCGAAAAAAGGAAGAGAAAGAAATGGGGCGTAATGCTTAAAAAAAAAATAAAGACGGACATTCTACCAGTTATAAGTTCAATGATGTATATTTATCTCGGACAGTGTTGGCTTTTGGGGATTATCTTTATTTTTCATAATCTAAGATCTGGAATTTCTCTTTCCTGAGCCAGTAGTATTTATTGAATTATTAATCTAAGATTTTAAAATCTTTGATTAATAATGCAATAAATATAACCAATGCAAGTGCAACAATATTTAAATAAATATGGCCGTTATTTTTTACGGTACGGGTTAAGAATTGACATAATAAAGTATCGGCATGGGTAGGTAGGTGAAACACTCCCCACCCCACAAAAAAAATGAATTGACATAAATGTAAATGATTTATGAAATATATTCTGTTTTAACTAGATCTGTTTTGATACGAGAATCTTCAACAACAACATAAGTTTCTCAGATTAAACTATTTCCTTCTTGCTTGAATACAAAATACAATTACAAATAGAAAAGTTATGTGTACTTCGTAAAAGTAATTCAAATGTGAAAGACTCATAAAAGTAATTCATGTGAAAGACTCGTTCTTACATATGGCGAAATTAGTCACTGACTGATTCCTTCTTTCTTGTTTTCTGAATGGCTTTGATAAGTGCTTCTCATTGAAAGAATATATTTGATACACACAAATAAAGGTTCTATTTTGAGGAAACAACGGTCTTCCATGGAGACTGGTTATTTGTGCAATGGAACAAATCACATTCAATTGGCTTTGCCATGTTTGACAATATTTATAAGAGGCATTTTTGCTATTTTTTAAACATACCCTTTGTATTGGAAAGGGTTTAAAAGGAGTTTCATTCAAGTTCTTGATAGTTTTGCAAATGACCATTTACACGGGGATCTGAATTTGTTTTACCGAATTCGTTTACCTTGTTTTCACAATAGTTGTTTATTATCTTACTCAGTCGAAATGAACATAGGACATATTTAATATCAAGTGATTACACACTAATCTCAAATAGGCTGCTGTGTTAGAGACAGTTTTTCCTAAGTATAGAATCAAATAAACTAACATACACCGGCCAATACAAGAAATAGCGGTCCATTAAACAAGTTTCAAATATATATTTTCATGCGCACATATGTAAACATTTAAGTGGAACAATTATTTTAGCGAAAGTCTTCTTTAAAAAAATACTTTTAAGGATGGAGAAAAATATATATTTATTTCTCTACGTGTTACTTTAATAAAATAAAATTCCATGAATTGAAATATGAAGTTATTACGACAAATAACTGAGGGACTATATTATTTTAAGTCATACAACAAATATAGAAATGGCTGAATTCCTTGAAATTCTAAACAATTTTTCTGTTATTCTAAGAGAAAGTAATCTTAAATTATATGAATTCTTCAAAAACATTTATTTAAGCTTGTTTATGTTTGTCTTATTGCAAAGTATGTCACAAAGAACTGGCGGAACTGCTCGATAACCTTAGCATATTTGGGAAGGCTATTAGAAGACTGCAGAACTTATACTGGCAGCAAACTACGGATAAGAAATGAGTTCAGTAAATATACAAAAATGAAACTTATTCAACCTATACAGTGAGGTGATTCTAAGAGATTTAGAAACCCTACAGTGATTCATTATCACAATCCTAACATCGTAAGTTAATGCAGGTGACACATTGCTAATAACAGACATAAAAATGAAACTACAAGAACACCTGCAGAAGGTAGTGAAAGAAAACGAGAAGAAAGGATTACATCTCAATCGTTATTAGCAAAAGGAATAGCCTAACATGCAAATTACAAATTAGAGACAGTTGAAATGTCTAGGATAACTAATGAGGAAAGAGGGATTGGAAAAGTTGATACTCACAAGACAGATTAAACGCAAGAGGTCCATAGGTAAACAACGCACAAGCTATCAAGCTAACATGATTATATGTATGGCGGAAAAAGTTTAAGAGAGATAACAAAAAGCCAAAATTTATTAAGAGCTACAAAGGATAGGAAACTGTGGAGACAATATTCGCCAACATCCTAAAATGGCACTTAAAAAAGAAAAGAAGAAGAATTTATTTTAACTATCCATTATATAGAACAAATGATAAAGAATATTTTGCGCACATTTATTTATATGGGACCATTACGACTGTACAATATTTTAATAACCTAGACCCAGCATGCAATGAGTCATTTTTCCACAGCGTCTAAGGTTGTAATGTTAAAAACAAATTTCCGTCCATATGTCGTCGTATGAGGTACACATAGATTATAAAACCAAATTTACTTGCGAGGTAATGCAAAGTATTTGACCTCGCTATTAATAAGTGACTAATTCAGAATATGAATTGGTAGCCATGGTGTTTATATGGTTTATGTACTTACTGTTTATTTATTTAGGTTCCTGGAGAGAAGGCTAGAAGCAGTTGACTGGAAAGGACTAATTGTTACTTAAAACAACAAATGTTCATCATAAATCTTTTTTTATGGAGAAATCATTATTTGGAGTACAGAGTTACTTTTGTAATGCATCAGGTCCGTACTGAATTATCCCACATGGAAATTATATGATGAAAACGATTTAATCTATACTGGTTAGAATTTTCGATAGTTTTTCATAACATTATTAAAATGAAACCTCAAAAAGTGTTATGAGAAAAATAAAGTTCATTTTGAAATATACAATAAATCATGATATAATTTTTGGCTTAATTTCTCTTAATCTTTGCGTAATTTTCTGGTTATGCTAAAAAGCGACCTTCGTGTTTGTTCTCTCCTAACATCTTATTTTTTGAATCATTTCACCCAAGCAAAGTAACAATGCCACTATAACGCTTACATGAAGTGAAAGAGAATGAGAAGATTTTAGTGAGGAGAAGTGAGAAAAAGACAATAATGGAACTGCGCTCAAGAAGACAGAAGATGGCGATTGACGTTACATTTAAATTTTTGAAGATTGTAAGTGACAGGGAAACAAGAAATTGGAAAGGACTTCCACAAGCGAGAAAAGACACAATTAGAATTGAACAGATGATTGCAGACGTTAGCGAGTTCAACAATTAGATGGCGAGACCTAGTTGCCAATCTAGTAGCACGCTTAAATTAATGTGTAGTCGAGGCACTAGAGCAGTTGCCTTGAAAATATTTGTAGAAAAGACAGAGGGAAGGCACGTCACGTCGGAGAGAAAGTGACTGAAGTCGAGATGCCAGGTCAGAATCAATTATATTACAGAGGATTTTTGTGATTTTGTTAAGAAACTCGAGGTATATTATAGAAGCAATTGGGTGGTCTTAATAAATACTAATTGTATTTATATTATGTACATTGTTCGGACAGTTGTCCTCATCTTTATTACCTCATTCACGACGTTTCGGCTGTTGTACGCTCCGACCTTCTTCAGGTGATTAAAATTGCGAACTGAACCCTTTATTTCGGCCACCAGGGTAGATTGCTCTAATTCAACGTGCCATGCCTCTACCGAACAATGTAAATGTAAATAATTACAATACCACATCTATAGACAGCTGAGAAAATATTCATTTATTCATTTTTCATCGAATTTGGTCATAATTTAGAAAATATCTCAAGATTTTATAAATAAAAGAAAACACAATAGAAAACAATGATTAAATAATTATTTATTAATGTCTCATGATAACCAAAATGAAAAGCAAATCTGCTTTCGGGTTATTACTTCTTAGATATCTTAGATGGAAAAGACAATGTACATGTATGTGTGTGTGTGTATAGCCGCGGTATATCAATAGAACTTCATTCTGTTCACCCCATTTCACCTTAATGCTACAAAATAATGCTTAATTCCATTAATAATTAACCTATTTTCCTATCTTTTAGAAGAAACGACCCTTAAGCCTTTCAGTTCAAAAGTTTACCTGTTTTAAATCGCCATTCATTTCTTTCAAATGTTGTTGGGCTCCTCATTTGTGATACTAATATATTTTCCAGATTTCTTACAGAGAAACACCGTAACAAAAATTCTTCTGAACAGTTCAACATAAAAAAATATCTCTCCGAAAAATAATTTGCATATCAATTTCAATACTTTGCTGGAATGTTCAATAACGTATATACTAATTAATAAACACGTTCCTACAGAATATATGGAGTAGACCAACATATAAGTTACAGTTTGGAGTTACCGAAATCAAACAATTTATATATCTGGGAAGCGTAACAGAGGACGGAAAATGCGACAGGGAAATCCGAAGACGCGTTGGGATAGCGAAAAATAACTCACAAAAGCTAAGCAAAGAAACAGAAAAATATCGTTAGAAACAAAGAAAAGAGTACCGAACTGTTATGTCGTATCAGTTATCGTACATGGCCGGGACTGCTGGACAGTATCCTCAGAGATAAAGAATAAATTAAGCAACAGAAATGTGATTTTACATAAGGATGCCTGATAATACAAGGCAACCCAGCAACGATGAAGTTCGAAAGATAGTGGAAACAAAACTCTACTTATGCTTAACACCAGGAAGAGATATTTAAAATTTCTAGGGCACATAATGAGGAAATAGGTCTTGGAAATTTTGATACTCACAGGACGTAAGGTTAGAGGTTCAGAGAAAAGAAATGCGCGACCTAGCTGACGAGTTTGCGCGAATGGATGACAGAGCAGGCTTTGTGAAAGACAAAAATGAAGAGCTACAAAGGATAGGAAATAGTGGAAAGCCATGATCGCCAACGCCCTGAAGGGACACGGCACGTTGAAGAAGATGAGGTACCTATGCTTCATGTGTGTCAGGCTTGATATTACAGATACCGAACAGAAAGAGAGGGACACAGAGAGTAAAACAGAAAGAGAGAGAGAGAGAGAGAAGAATATAGAAAGAGGTAAAAAAAGAGAGGAACTGAGGTAGTGAGGAGGTTAAATCATCTTTCATGACTGAACGATGTGTTAAGGAAAAATTAGACCCTGAACTGCAAATAATTTTTAAAATTACATTTTTTTTAAAAATCTTGGCAAAGATGTTTTCATTTTATACATGTAATTTATGCGTTCCGTAAAATTCAGCTTTCATTAG